TGTTACTTGAAGGCCATTAAGTAGTTTAATGACAGTTGGGATAACACCACACTCACCTGGATTGTCCATAATTCTTCTACTTGTGAGTCCCCTTTCTGGTGCCTGACTTTCTTGTCTGTTATTTATCACAGGACAGTTCTTAATGGCATGTGTGAGTGATATAAGTTGTTCATCTGTTGTGACCATGTACTGCTGAAGTCTTGCCTAGAGAAGAAATGAAATAACATCATTGCATATCAAACATCAAACCATCACCTAGAAAGCAAACCATACCAAGAATACGTGTGTGTGTATGTATAATATGATTTTATATACACCAGGATTTGAGACTGTCATTCAAATTCTATAACAATTATATACATAATTATGAATAGTCTAATAGTACCATGATAAAGAAATGGTTAAGTAAACCAATGGAATATTAATTAATAAATACCCTGCTTTAACAATAAGAATTAACCTTTTTCATGGGGCTTTCAGTTTACAAAATCTCTTCATATAGCTGATTTCAACTGACTCTCAGGTTACCTCAAGAGACAGACATATCAGGTGAAGGAAACTCAGAATATTACACAGGCATTTAAACTGATAAACACAAATATTAAATAGATTCATGGTAATGTATATAAAGGAACGTAAGGAAAATAGAAAAGTACAAAATTCTATATGCAATATGAATACAACTTCATACAGTATTTTAAATACGTGTGAGATAACACTGTACTTTATATATATGTATATAGATATGTACTCATATTCTCATATTTGTCTCTGTGTACATATGTACATATCTTTTATACATATATTTTAATATTATTAAAGTTTTCTTTTATTTAAAAGATCATTCACAATATACCGTACCCACAGATTTTTCTGTCATACAGCTGAATATGTTAAAGGTTTGCAATTCTATTCTTTCATTTAAAAGTCAACTGGATTGCCCAGAAGTTTAGGTGAATTTGTTTTGTTCTTAATCTTCTCCACATTGAAAATGCAAGTCATCTGAAAGCATCAGATTTGATTACAACCACATAATGCAAGTTAAGTACTGGTATTACAGAAACAGCTCTTAGAAGCAGAGAAGATGGCAGGTGGAATAAAGTTCTGTAAACTGCTGAGATCTTGTAACAAAGACAGTAAGAGAAGCTACGGATGGATAGCTACTGACGAACTACTATCTAAGCATAATATAGATATAGATATAGATATAGATATAGATATATTTATCATACATACTTAAAGATATACAGGCATCTGACAAAAATCAGGTGTGGCAAGACATCAGAAATATGAATGAACTATACTAAACATTTTTATATCACCAGACCAAATTTTTTCCCAAATGTCACTCATTTATCCAGTGGCCTACTCAACATCTCCATCTAGAACTCAAAAAGACTTCTCAAGCTTAAAATGTACCAAACCAAACTCCTCCTGAAGCCTTCCCTACTTAATGAATAGCAACATAATCCTTCCAATTGCTCAGTCTGAACCTTTGTAATCACACTTGACTCTTCTCTCGTATCCTCTCCTTCACCTCATTTCCAATCCATCAGCAGACTCCATTGGTCAGCCTTCAAAATATATTCAGAATTTGATCACTTTTCACACTCTCTCCTACTTCCACCAAGCTGCCTTGTCTCACCTGAATTATTCCAATAACTCCTATATGTAATATTCTATTTCTGTGTTTGGCCACCTAGTCTAGTTTTATACTGTTCTCAAACTATATCCTAAGGCATCTCAAACATCAGAGTGAACTCACAGGGGCACCAGAAGACATTTTAAGTTTTCACAGGAAACAGTGATGCCTGATAGCTATCAAATATTGGTGAACTATTAACTTGAGGCAGTTCACACTTCCAACATTAGATTGTATTACATTCCTTTTGATGATGTCAAATCTTCTCATGGCTGGGTTTTCAGCAGTTGTTATGCTAAAAAAATAAGTTTTGGATAAAAATCAATGTGGAACAGGAAATAAAAGTGATGGTGTTCAATATGATTCCAAGCTTTGCAAAGCTGCACAGTGCTCGAAAAGTACACATATCCCATTAATAAATAATTGTGGCTATTTAAGAATGAAATAAAAATATTACATTCTTTTTCAATTTATACATATTATTTTTTCAAACAGCTCCTCAGTTGTTAGGACATAAGGTGTTTGGACCTACTACTTAATAATTGGAAAAATTAGGTATTTCTTTTGGCCTAGGGGTGTCATGAGACACTAAGGGCATTGTGACCTGAGAAAGGACAGCAACCTCTGACTTAGTCTCAACATATAGGCCAGAGTCATCCTCTTAAAACCTAAGTCAGATCACATTTCTTCTCTTTAGTAGTTTCCCATCTCACTCAGTGTAAAAGCCCAAGTTCCTAACCAGCATGCAAGACCCTATGTGGTCTGGCTTATCCGATCTTGTCTCCTACTGCTCTCCCTTTCCCAGATTCCACTCTTTCCACACTGGTCTCCTTGATGACTGTGAGCTCACCAGCCACTCTGCCACCTCAAGACCTTTGCACTTGCTTTTCTTCTGCCTAGACTAGACTGCTCTTCTCTCAGCTACCTGCATGTTCACTCTCTCACCTCTTCCAGGTCTTTGCTCAAATGTCACTTCCTCAGACAGACATGACCCATCCCATTTATAACTGCAACCCACACCAGTCTAGGCAATTCCCATGACTTTTACTTGCCTTATTTTTTTCAAAGTAGATACCACCATCCAAGTTATTACATACTTTACTTTTCTTAGGATTCATTTAGAATATAAACTCCCTGAGGGCAAGGATTTCTAGATTTTGTTCACTGTTGTAAATCCACCACCTAGAAGATCGCCAGCTCCACAGTAGGTGCTCAATAAAGATTTGCTGAATGAATTAACACATTTTAAAACTGCACAACTTCAAGGAAAACTAAAAACATATGTTCATAGAAAAACATGTACTGTTTTTTTTTTTTAAAAAAGGAGCAATTTGTCAAGTGGAAAAGAGGACTTATCTAACAAATATGAAGACATTGTAAACAACAGTAAATGGCATCTGGTGTGATTACAAGAGGGCTCCTCAAAGGCTATCCTCTACTGTTTTGAAATTGAAAGTGGCTATCCTAATACTCATTTCACATTTTGGATTAACTACTGTAATACTGGTAGTTATCATTTAAATATAGATTCTGTCTTCCCACTAAATAGTAAGTTTCTTAACAAAAGCAGACTTATTCTATATACTATTTGCAGTCCAAGATGCTACTGTAATACCTCCAATTTGATACATGTTCAATAACAGCTACTATTGATGATAATAATAAGGTTGATAAATAATCACATCAGTACAGCTAAACCAAAGGCAACTATACAAGAATCCCATACATATTTAAAGATGTTTTATATTACTAAACACAGAAAAGTTTCAGTGAAACTTTTGGGATCTCATCTGAGTACCTGTGTAGTAGTATTTTCTTCTCTAAGAAGAAGAATTTCAGCTGTCAGAGCATCAATGAGCTCTCGATGATCACCTAATAGTTGTTGCAGTTGCTCCCTTGTCTCTACTTCTTTACGTAGTTGGAGCTCACTCTATAAAAAAAAAAAAATCAAATAAACTTCCAACAATAGCACCACATGCTGAAAACTAAGTTTCTACTCAAAGCCATGAAAGAACACATTACAAAGAAGCATATATCATGTGATCATAATGAGAAATAAAAATATGTATTAAAATATTATATTTAATTTAATAAAATGTGCTGCTTTATCCTCTTCCCTCCTTTAAACAGAATACAATGAACAAAATGGTATATAGAATTAAATAACTACATCTTTTTAAAAAGAAAGTGTTAGTCTATACATATACATACTGTTTGAATATACAAAGACAATTTCTAGAATGAAACACTGGTATTTGGATATGACAGATCGTTACAAAGAAGCAACAGGTTGGCTGGAAGTTAGGGGTAAGAGTCAGATTTTTCATTGTACACTCTTCTGCATCTTTGAATTTCATACCATATGATTGCATCACCAATTCAAAAATTAAGTTCGTTAAAATATAATTAAAAATAAATGACTACAGGTTTAAATGGCTTAGCTTTGTAAAGCAAGTGATTAGCTAAAAAGTTCATTCTTTTAAGGCTGCAATATTTTCTGAGAGCCAAAAGCACACTCCTAAAAATTCCTGAATTAAGGGTGAAAGAACGTTCAGACGGTGCAACAAATCTTTCATTAAAAAACAAGTTTAGAAAGACACCTCCAGAGAAAATAAAACATCTGAATTAGAATGGTGAATTGATTTTTTTAATAATAAAATTTCCTTAAACATTTTTGTTACATCTGTTTAACAGATTTAAGTACATAATAACAATTTAAATAATTTTTTCAAAGATGAAATACACAGCTAACTCTAATTCTACAGCATTTTGAGGACTGATTATTACATTCTGAAGACTAATAATTACAGTTGTCCCTCAGTATCCATGCGAGATTGGTTCCAGAACCTCCTGCAGATACCAAAATCCATGGATGCTCAAAGTGTGATATAAACTGTTGTAGTATTTGTATACAACCTACGCACATCCTCTCATATATTTTTATTTATTTATTTATTTATTTTTATTGTTTTGTGACCGGTAAGGGGATCACAACCCTTGGTGTGGTGTCGCCTGCACCGCGCTCAGCCTATTTATTTATTTTATTGTTTTGTGACCGGTAAGGGGATCACAACCCTTGGTGTGGTGTCGCCTGAACCGCGCTCAGCCAGTGAGCGCACCAGCCATCCCTATATAGGATCTGAACCTGCGGCGGGAGCGCCGCGCTGCGCTCCCAGCGCCGCACCCTCCCGAGTGAGCCACGGGGTCGGCCCCTCTCATATATTTTTAATCATCTGTAGATTACTAATAATATGTAATACAATGCAAATGCTATGTAAATAGTTGTTATACTGTACTGTCTAGGGAATAACAAGAAAAAAAGCCTGTACCTCTTCAGTACAGATGCAGTTTTTTATATATATATTTTTTAAATCCACGGTTGGATATGGAAGGCCGACTATATTTGCAAACAGGTTAAAGAAACAATTCTTGCTTGTTTTGTGTTTTCACAACAAAACACCTCCCACTTAGACAATGAAGCCATACCCAAGATGCCAGGCATATAGAGAACATGAAGAATTTCCCCCTTATCAAGTCTATACATTACAGGCAATTCTACTCTCCAAACTGAACTAATGTGGGAGGAAACAGAGAAAAGCAATAGAATGAGGACACAATTAATAGTTCTATTTAACCTATAACTGACAAATAGTAATATTTAGTATCAGCACAAGATATAATTTTATACATATATAGCAGATTTACCTTACTAAACTATAATTTGCTGAAGCTCATGCTAAAATCAAAATCACTTATCTGAGCATGTATGAACTACTTAATGGTAGAGGGTGATTAAGAGGATAAACCTTTATTGCAGATAATCTAAAGCTGAGGTATTTTAAACAAAGCCATTCAACTTTGACTGTACTTTATTTGGAGGCAGCAATAAATTAAGTGGAGAGGAAAAAACCTCCACATCTGCCTGAAGGGAAGACAACTAATAACCTCATGCTCTTACCTCTTTCAGATACCGAACCAGGCGACAGAGGGAGCTCACCAGTGACAACGTGAAGCCGGTAAGACCCTGGCTGCTCTGCAGTCTCTTGACCTCACGTCCTGTCCACTGCTCATATTCTTCCATTTCATGTTCTACTTCATGTATCATGTGTTTGAGGACATCCAGGCTGGAATTATTGCTACTTGGTAAGTCTGCAGAGGTTGTACTACTTGATAATATGTTTTTCTTCTGCTTGGAAGGTACACACAAATCCGGTTTTCCTTTCACTGATAATGACAGAAGTCATTCTATTTCAAGACCAGGAAAAGTTACAACTAGAAAACTACTAGAAAAACCTTTTGACTACTGCCCACAATTTATAAAAGGTTTCTATAGAAGTTGTCATCATTTTTCTCATAAAAATCTATAAAGTTTAAACCAGGTTTACACTATCTATAATGAATGCACTAGACCCATCTTTCCAGAGTTACATGGGATAGGAGGCATTTCTTAGCGACCATTCCACAAATTTAATTAATTGGGTCCAACTGGATGAGCTTAAGGGAAAAGACATTTACTAAGAGATTAAGATAGCTGTGCCAAGTTACTTGTTTAATAATTCATCTCTGTAAATTAAGGAACTGAACCTTTATTAAACAGCTGTTTTTGCTTCCTTGAGTTCAACACTTGTCCCACAACACAGCTTGAATCTAGAGTCTCAGCAGATTCTTCAGGCTGAAGTCTGGGTTGAATTCTATTGACAACGCTGGTAGCATTCAGAGCAGCTAAAAAAGAACATTTCCAAATGTATCTCAAGTGAACAAACTCTTTTTTTTTTTAATATTTCAATTGAAAGATCCATCAATATTTTAGTCAATTAGGCTAAGGCAATCAAAACTCAAATAACATTCCTTTAAGAATTACTGTATTCAAGAAAGAATCTAATAAAGCAGATTACTAGAAATAATGCAAAGTGAGAACAAACCTCTTTGTTCCCCTGATGAAAGGGCAGATGATGGAGTTTCTGGAGGGGTTATTTGTGACTGTGTCGCTATTTTCTGCTGCATATCAGTCCACAATTTACTAATTAACTCAGAATTCTCTTCCTTTAGTTGTTGGAGAAATCTATAAATCATGGGACAATAAGCTATATTAGAATTAATAGGTGCTATCATTTAAACTGTCCGACTATTCACATTTGCTTGAAAGGAGCTTTTAGTAATTCATAATCAAAGAAAAAATAGTTTTTATCATTTAATCTGACTATTCACATTTGCTTGAAAGGAGCTTTTAGTAATTCATAATCAAAGAAAAAATAGTTTTTGCTTCAACTGATAAGATAGGTACATAGCTAAAATACACACTATCTTAGTGTTAGAAGGAATCATTCCATCTCCCTCCCAGTTTCTTACCTACCTTAGCCCTAATTTAGGAGCATTTGCTCTTTCTGCAGTTTTGTGATATGGCTCTGTCCTCCTCTTTGTTTCTTAAAGTAATTAAGCATACTTGACTCAGTCCCTTTAGGTTTCTCTCTCCTACAAAGAAGCCTGTCCAGAGAGCAAACAGTCTCTGCTCATCACTGAAATAAATTTACTGAAGCAGACTTTTCCCCTGTGCATCAGGCAGGGGGCAGAGGGAGTAATAGGAGGAGATGAAATTTAGGTTATTATTTGTAGGCCTTTTGGTTACAGAACTAAGCCTTGTGCAACAAACATCTTTATCATCAATAAAGCTGATATTTTAATCTTCAGCTATCTGATTCTATTTCTATTGTCTATTTCTCACTTGAATTGAAACTTAAGGAAGTAGGGGACCAAGAAGTAGAAACAACCCAAATGTCCACAGCTAACGAATGGATAAGTAAAATGTGACATAGCCATACAGTGAAATATTATTCAGCCATATAAAGGAATGGAACACTGATATATACTACATGAATGAACCTTGAAAACATTATGTTAAGTGGAAGACACCAGACACAAAAGACAGCATATTGCATTATCTATTCATATATGAAATGTCCAGAATAGGCAAATCTATAGAGACAGAAAGTAGATTAGTGGTTGCCTAGCACTGAAGAGTTTAGAAGGAAATGGGGTTTAACAGCTAAAGAGTAGGGAGTTTCTTTTGGGGGTGAAAAAACATTCTAAAATTAATTGTAGTAATGACTGCATAATTCTGAATATACTAAACGCCACGAGATATGACACTTTAAATGAGCAGACTGTGTGGTATACGAACTATAAATCTGTAGAGGATTAGAAATCTTGATTCTCAGTTGATTATTAGATAGGGTTTTTAGGTAATGCATGTATGGGACAAAAGTGCTCAGATAGGAGGCAAGAACCTACAGCTAGAGGGCAAGAACCCACCGAATCAATTCTAATCATGTATATGTTGATTCTCAGTTGATTTTTAGTACAGGGTTTTTAGGTAATGCATATACGGGACAAAAGTCCTCAGGAGGCAAGAACCTACAGTTAGAGAGCAAGAGCCCACCGAATCAATTCTAATCACTATTTAGATAAGGGATTGTATACACTGATTATTAATATAATGGGTTCATTGGAAGATTTTGTGAGAAGGAAACTCACACAGGTTTAAAGCCTTTAATGTGAACAAGAAAACTGAAACAAAACAGGGATTGTTCTGAGCGCAATAACCCTTAATACAACAAAGCTTAAATGATGGGAAAATACGTGAGTTAAGATTTCCAAGGACATTTTGCTATATTAATTAGTACATGGGGGTTGTTCCACATTTTGCTTTAAGCTGTTTCTTTGAGTTTCTCAAGAAACAATGATTATCTTATTGTTTCTTTGGCATGTCACATAGTTGAGATTTATGACTCTTTGGATGGTATATTGTCTAAACTATTTTGAACCATGCATGCTTGGATGAAGATTGTTACACAGCCAATTTCTTTACGTTCTTACTGTGATTGATTAACCATCTATTCGTTTCCTGTAATTTCCTTGTCTTTACAATAAAAACTGAAGCAAAAACTGACTCAGGGTTGTACCCAGTTTCTCCTTCTAACAAAGGAGTTGCTGAGGTGCAGTCCCTCAGGCTTCTCATTGCATTCATGTTGCTTTGAGTAATCTTTTTGCTTCTCTGTTACACTGCGAGAGGTATACCATAAATCAAGAAAGCTGTCCCCCCACCCCCCAAAAAAGAGGAAGGAGGTAATCTTATTTATTGGCTCCGCAAACCTCAACCTAAAGGAGTTGCTTTCAAGCACCCTATGGACAGCACATTAGAACACAAGTTGCTAAAAAACATACTTAGTGTGAAGGTTAATTCTAGGTATCAACTTGGTTAGATCAAAGAATGCTGAGAAACCTGGTAAAGCTATCTTTTTAGGTGTGTCTGTGAGGATGTTTCCAGCAGAGATTAGTATAAGTCTGAGTGGACTGGGTGGGAAAGACCCATCCTCAAAGTGGATGGAAACTCACTGAAGCTTGAATTGTGTCCCCCAAGTTTTATGTATTAGAAACTTAGCCCTCACTGTAACTACTAAGGATGGGAAATCCTATTACGGTAGCTGAAAGGTGCAGCCTTGAAGAGGTGATTGGATTGTAGGACAATTCAGTAGTGAATGGATTTAAAATGGTGGTTGGGGGCGTGGTTCTGAGGGCTTTAAAAGAAGAGGAGAGTCTGTCTCTTGCTCTCTGCTCTCTCTGCTTCCACCATCTTGCAATGTGAGACTCCTGGGTCACTGTTGCCACCACCAGATGGACTTTGAACTTCCCAGCCTCAGAAACTGTAAGCAATAAATTTCATTTTCTTTATAAATCACCCAGTTTCAAGTGTTCTGTTATAGCAACACAAAATGGACTAATACACTTAGCAAAAGGTCTGTGATGTAGTCCACTCAAAGGGAAGTAGTTACTAAGGCATCAGAAAGACCCCTTTGTAAGACAGAATTATGTCTAAGTCCAACCTTCAAGATAAACCCCACAAAGAGTGTTCTAGTGAGATTGCTGAACCAGTTCGGCAAATAAACCCTTCAGTCTGAAACTCACTTTACTGTCTCTATGTTCATAATTTTAAGAGTTAGTTTATGTGAAATAATAACAACAAAAATAATACATCTATGGTAGGCTAAAAAATGGATCCCCCAAAAGATACAACTTAATTCCTGTAATTCATGAATGTCACTCTATCTGACTGCATTAGTCCATTTCTGTTGCTTATAATAGAATACCTGAAACTGAGTAATTTATAAAGAAAATAAAATTTATTTCTTACAGTTTTGGAAGCTGATTAATCCAAGGCAAGGGCCTTCTTCTCGGTGGGAACTCTCTACAGGGTCCTGTGGCAACCAGGGTGTCACATGGTGAGAGAATGGCCCGAGCAAGAGAGAGCTAACCTTCTCACTTGCCCTCCTTCTAAAGCAATCAGTACCATGCCTATTACTCCATGAATGGACCAATCCATTCACAAGGGCACAGTCCTCACTGTCTAATCACTTTTTAAAAGCTCCATCTTTCAAATACCATACTCAGATTTCCCACCCTTTTAGCACTATTACAATGGGGGTCAAGCTTCAATGAGTTTGGGGGGGACATTCAATTCACAGCACAAAGTAAAAAGCAACTTTTCAATGTGATTAAGTTAAGGATCTTCAGATGAGGAAATATGAATCTGTATTATCCAGGTAAGCCCTAAATTCAAATCATGTGTATCCTTATATGAGGGGGCAGAGAGAGATCTGCCACACACAGTGAGAAGATAATGTGAAAACAGGGGCAGAGATTGGGGTGATGCAGCCACAAGGCAAGGAAGGCCAATAGCCATGAGAAGCTGGAAGAGGCAAGGAGCAGATTCTCCTATAAAGCCTCTGGAAGGAGTGTGGCTTTGCTGATACCTTGATGTCAACCTACCAAAACTGATTATGGATTTCTGGCCCCCAGAACAGGTAAAGAATAAATTTCTGTTGTTTTAAGCCACCAAGCTTGTGGTAATTTGTTACAGCAACCCAGAAACTAATATACCACCTTAAATTTATTTGACAACTTTCATTTCAAAAATCTCAAAGTACTCTGTACATAGTATTCTTGAAGTATTGGAGTGGGGGAAGTCATTACTTTAAAATATTTATCTTCATCCAAAGACAATAAACTGTCTTAGATCTGGAACTCTCTTTCATTCATTTTATTTACTTTGGGCATTGATTCAAATTCAATCTCCTTCAATTTTCATTGATTACCACTTAATGCCAATTTTATTTTATGGCAGCATCAACTGCAATAAGGACATTATTTCATAGAAAGAGGACTATCAGCATCTCTAATTTATATCCCTAAGATATAAACCCCCATCCAAAGAAAGCTACCCAAGCCTCCTGGAAACAGTAACTTTGCTTGCCATCCAGTTGTTGCCTCTGGGATTTCCTCCCTTTTTGCCATGGAAGCCTCTACCAGCATCTTTCTCTTTCCCAACTCTAGCCTTTCTTCTTCACACACAAAGATCTACAGGGAAGACAGTGGCAAAGGGAAAAGTGAGGGAAACACTTGCAATTACTACTCCTTCCTCTGAAGGCACTAATCCCCAGAAACATTAATGACCCAGCAGACGCTTTTGAGGATTGGGTTAGAAACTTATTTATAATATATAATATTAACTCTATGAGAATTCTATTGAGTGCTCACAGAAAAATATATTCACAGAAATTTTCAAAGCAGAGGGCACCTTAGATAAAGATCATGTTTTACCTGTCATATTTTACAACTGAGAAAGTAAAGACCCACAGATTATCTAACTAGTTAATATCCAAAGGCTCCATCTCCTGATTTCAAGCCTAATGAATCTTCCAAAACCTTCACGCCAAACAGTTAACAAGTAATATTTTGAGACATAAGGTATTCAAAAGTTGGAAACTGCCTATTCAATACAACTAGCAAGATAAAACTAACCATAACCAACCAAATAAAAAATAGTAATTCGATTCAAACTTAAAGAATAAAAGTAATTCTGTACAAGGCTACTTACATTTAAGTTCTGAAAGAAAAAGTTTTTAAAAGATGATACATATTTCCAGAGAAATTTTCCTAAGAAAATGGTGACCAACTAAACCTGAATCACTCTACATATCCTCCAAAACACTATACAGTGCAACAAGA